CCCAGGATCGGACATTGTTTCGTTCTGCTGTGCATGGGGTTGCTATGAGTCGGTTCCGACTCAATGGCACCTGACAACAACAACAACAACAACAACAACAACAACAACAACAACAACGAGCACGTAGCCCCTGCTTGATATGTCCGGAGAGCATTTTAGTGAGTGGAGAATCGGCAATGCTACAAATATTACATACAGTGTCCTATTTACACATGATACATGCACAATAAGACTAGGAACTTGATGTGTATGCACTGTGCACAATTTCTATCATATTTGATTTCTGAGTAAAAAATCTACAATTTTACCTGAACACACTCTTCCAGGTCCATCTTTTCAAGTTCATGGCAATTCTACAAAGTATAAAACCAAATGGATTTAGTGCAAACATCTAAAACATGGGGGAAATTCAAGGCTATAAAACTATAGCCTTCTGAAGAATAGTTTTAAATGAAAAAATCTTCTGAAGAATACAAAAAATTCCCTAAAGTCACATCAGTCTCATCCACCACTCACATATCAAATATTTATTTCACAAAGCACCAGAAGTCCCTTCTTAGATTACTTTATCATCTAATAAAATTGTGCAGAATCAAGTTTCATTAAGGGGCAGCATGTTCTCCAATGCCCTTGTGCATTTTCAGAGCTGTAGCATGAAAATACTAAGGGACATTAGCTAGTCCACAGCACTCCTGCTGCTCATTCTTCTGAAGTAAAAATCCCAAATAAACGTATGGAACCTGGCAGAAATACTTACCCTCGCCAGAGTGGTAAAGCCCACATCTGTTAATTGAGAACACCTTGCTACTTCTAATATTCTGTTAAAAAAGAAAAACACAATAAACTACAAGTCAAGTCTTTGGTCACCAAAAACTCAGTTTAGTAAAGTTCCAAGAATTTAAGAAAGCAACCTCCTATTCCCTACAGACTATATACTATAGACTGATTATTAACAGCTAAGCAAGTTTTATATACAGATCTCTCCATTCATTTTCACGGGGTCATCATAAAGCAGTCTGTAAATACCACAATACTTCAACTTGATGAAATCAAAGAATACGGAAGAATACAAAGGAGGCTTGTAGTTAATGCCAAAATGCACGAAAGAGCAATGCATTAAAAAGCCTTCTTGATGTCTTACTGCTCACCCCCAGAGGGCAGCCTGCTCCTAGAAAACAAAGGAAATGGAGATTAAATACCTTGTTTGAGTTAAGCTATTGCTGAAGTAAATTAATATTTTTCCCTATTTTTTATGTAGGTTCATTCAGATTTAAACAGCTTCTTAAAAATGCTATGAAAGGGTTGCTTAATTAAAGGTCTGTTTCAAATATAAACTCCCATAGTTACAGAACTTTCCTTTCCTGATCAAAGATTGCTAAACAACAAACTAAACAGGATGGGGAATCAAAAATAGCTTTTTTTCCGGGAAAAGTTTGGTGACCCTCTGCACAATGGTACCAAACAAGTTTGCTTACAAATTTGGAAGTTGCTTATTGATTTGTAAGCTGAAAAAGATTAAAGCTGAAGTATAAGAAATCATTATTAATTAAAAATCGCTTTGAAATGAATGTATCTAATGGGAAAACCTCATTTGAATGAAACACAAATTTGCAGTCTCATATTTTAAGAACCTGTCCATTCTAACAATAAAGTGAATTCTATAAGGGACTGGAGCAGAAGATCCCTCTCTTAAAGCAGAAAAAACCCTAATACAGTTATTATTAAGAAGCCCAGGAATAGTGCAAAGAGTTAATATGCTTGGCCAACTGAAGGATGGAATTTCTAGTCTACCTGAAAGCTCCTTGGAATAAAGGCCTGGTGATTTATCCATGGAAACCTTGTGAAGTATAAATATAATTCTTGGTGCACATAGGGGGTCGCCAGAAGTTGGAACTGACTCAATGGCAACTGGTTTTTAATATTTTTAGACTGGAGTGTGGTTACTACTTTAGGCTTCAATGCTACTAATTTTGACCAATATTAATTCTATGATCTATTAAGGGATTTTGGCAATGCAGGCAAAGCTGCTTTTAACCATGCATGTTTAGGCTCACAGACATGGTGATCACAAAAAGTTTTAAAGAAAATGTTTATTTTATGTATGATAAGTGGTTTCACAGGCTCTAAATCTTTGCTCCTCCAGTTAGTTACTTGACCTCGTTGTGTTTTGGTTTCCTCATTTATAACATGGAGATGAAAACAGTGGTTTTATCATGTAATACAGGAGAAAGATGAGGTTTTCTGCTCTTACAAAAATATGTAGCCTTGGAAAACTTACACCTGGTCACTACAAGTCAGAATTGACTTGATGGTATGTAACTACAACAACAGCAACCATGTTATAAGATTAAATTAATATCTGTAAAGCACTTAAAACAATGTCTGCCATAAACAGTGAAACTTGTGAGAACTGGAACTTCATAAGACTGCCTTAGTTTTTCAGGTCACATAAAATTTCTGTTTTTGATACTTTATTCATTACAAACCAGTGTGCTGTGTTCCTACAGAATCAATATGGGATACAAATCATGCCCATGTTACACAACATTCTTAGTAAGTATTCAGCGAACACCATATTGAAGTAAAGAAGAGCAGTAGAGAAACAAGACTTAGTTCTAAAAGATCATCAACACAAAAGTCCTCTTATAGGATTTTTTTGTTCTTATTTTTTTAAATACCTCTCTACTATGTACCTGGCAAGTAGCCATGGTCAGCTGCTAACTAATAGGTCAGTGGTTCAAATCCACTAGCTGTTCTGTGGGAGAAAAGACCTAACAATCTGTTCCTGTAGCTATTGTATAGACTCGCAAACCCTATGGGGGTAGTTCTACTACTCTGTCTGTTGTATAGGGTCACTATGATTTGGAACTGTTCAGTGGCAAACAAAAACAACATGCACATGGCATCATTATAACACTATAAATGACCACAGGGTGGGCCTTTTAAAACTTCCTTCAGAGAGGAATTATAGGAAAGCATTAATAGAAGAAAATACCTTCAGAAAACAATAAATGCTGGTGGGGATGTAGGGAAATGGGAACATGCACACAATACTGGTGGGATTGTGTACAACCATTGTGGGAATATGGTATGGTGCTTCCTTAAAAAGTGAGAGGCATCATATGACGTAGCAATCCCACTACCAGATATATATCCCAGAGAAATCAGCACTGTGATATGAGTAGATCTATGAATATCCATGCCCATTTCACAATAGCAAAATCATGGAAACAACCTAAGTGACTATCAAAGGGTAAGGACTGCTACCAAATTAAACAAAAACCTAAAAAAGAGAAGCTACTGATTCTCAACATACCCTCCACCTACATCGATAAACTTCTGAAGGTGGTGATTCCATCTAAATAATTCTACACTTTTTGACTTTCCATGTCAAAATGGCAGTTTGGGCATTCCTGAGGAATTCAAATAGTATACTTTTCAAATGTTTTTGAGTTTGGAAACAAAAAGAAATCTGAAAGAGTAAGATTCAGGGTTGTATGGTGGGTAGAGCTAGGTTTTCTAACAAAATTTTCACAGCATGGTCCTTGCTAAGCAGGTGCATTGTCATGACCAAAAAAAATTCCTTGGCACAACTGTCCTGACCGCTTTCTCACCAATGTAGTTTTAAATTTTCTTAAAACTTCTTCTTAATAAGCTACGTCCTTTGAAAAAAATCTGTCAAGATGACCCCTTTGTAATTCCCCCCAAAACAGTTGCCATAACCTTCTGAGCTGACTGCTGCCTTGAATTTAACTGACTCAGCAGATCTTCTCAGAAGCCACTATGACTAGACCATTTTTCTGAAGGCACCCTAATTAATAAGACTATTGTTGTTAATTGCTGTTGGTCAGTTCCAACTCATAGAGAAGAGTGCTGTTACATTAAGGGGATTGCAACTAATGTCACGAAACACAATCTGTATATACTGTTGAATGGGAAAATAATTTTCTCTATAAACTTTCATCCAAATCACAATGAAATGCTAGGGAAAAAAACAATGGAAAACTTGTGAAATCTGGAAAAAGAAGGCATCACTGTACAAGGTGGTAGATACATAATTTATTGTATTGAATTAATAAGATGTTTGTTTTCACATTTGACACCTCTGTAATATTATATTCAATGATACCAGAGAATTGTGTTAAAGATTGTTGCAAGTTTCTTCCTCAATTTTTACTTATATAAAACAAGTGGTACATTTCATATTCAATGAAGAAGAAAAAGAGAAAATGCCTTCATTTCTTTCTCAAGTAATGACATTAAATGCTGCTTTTTTTCCTTTTTAGTAAGGAAAAACATAGAATATACGGAAGTACACAAAATGGTCAGTAGACCTTTTACTATTGTAAACGCTAGATAACAGGCAGTAGTAAAGTAAGGAGTAGTGTATATGTAATCAAATAAGGTACAAAGCACATAGCTGGGCAGCTTAAAGGATAGTTGTCTTATAGTGTCAACCTTCACATTTCAAAGTCCCAAGGACTAAATATGAAGGAGGCTTCAACTCCCTTTCCTTATTTCTTGAACTAAACAAAAAATGTTTACCTAGGAGAACATAGGGATTGCTACAGTACCTGGTATGGTACTGTAGGATAAGCACTGGACCACCAGCCACAAGGCTGGCAGTTTGAATCCACCAGCCACTCTTCAGAAACCCAATACAGAATTTCTATGAGCCAGAATCAATTTGAAGGCACTGAACAACAACCCTTTGGGGACCCTTCCAGACTTTGTCCATGTACCTCATTCTGATGGTCATCCTGAGCTCTACCCTTTATCATAATAAACCCTAAACACACCCACTCCTCACTTGTTGATATGGTTAGGTTCCAATGGAGGATGACCATATCCAGTCACAAAAAGAAGGATGACAACATCATTACATAACTGCCAAACTATTGTGATTCATGGCCCAGCCAAGTTGACACATAATCCTAACCAGCACAGCCAGTGTTACTCACCTCCCATCCTGGTGTTCACTATTGCCAGATATACACTGCTAATGTGCAAAACAGTCAGTAGACTTTTTGCTATTGTCATAAATGGGAAACACTGAATAACAAGACAATAGGTAAGCAAGTAGTATGTGTATATATAATAAAATAAGGTACAAAGTACATAGGTGTACAGCTGAAAGGATAGTGGGCTTATTGTTTGGTGATGGTTGGGTGCCACGGAGTTGGTTCTGACTCATAACGCCCCTGGATAGGGTTTCCAAGACTTGTAAATCTTTATGGAAGCAGAAAGTCTCATCTTTTTTCCCGTGGAGCAACTAGTAAATCTGAACTACTAACCTTTCAGTTAGCAACCTAGCTCATAATCCACTATGCTACCAGGGTTCCTTTAAAATTTCAAGGTCCCAAGGAATAAATATGGATGAAGGAGGTTTATGTTTCTTTTCCTTATTTCTTGAATGAAACAAAAAATGTTTACCTAAGTCGTGGGCAGTTTTGGCCTAGAGCATTCAGGATGGCATCTGTGATGTTGGAGCAGCCAGAGGCACAGAGGGACTGTAACTTATGACACCCTCTGCATATAGTAATGAGACCTTCATCTGTGATTTGCTAAAAAACAAGAGCAAAAATGCATAGATTTTATACCTTATCAGAAATAAAAGAAGAAAAATATTACATCTGTGAAAACAAGCACAAAACAAACGAAAAGCAGAACAGGTTTAACATAAATCAAGTAGCAAGCAGACCTAAAATTAGGAAACAAGTATACGTTGTGTCTTCCTTTTAGTTCCTTTTGATTTTGTTTACAAGAGAATCTGGTTTTGGTGTAGAGGTAAGAAGCTGTGTATTTAACTGAATGGAACTTGGAACAGCATGGGATACATCAAGGTGTATGTTCAGCTAAATGATTATAAAATTTTTTTCTATGTGTGTGTTTAAACTCACACTTATCTAGAATGCAAGTAATAAAGGTAACATTTTAATAGTAAAAATATACAAGGGGGCTTCAAAAAGTTCCATGGAAAATGGAATGAAAAGACCTTTTCATGGACTTTACAAAGGCCCCTCATATTTTCAAGTTAAATTAGTAAGTTAGTGGGTGACAACTACAATCTTTTACCAGTCATTCATTTTATTTCTACATTTTGGTTTTATAATGTAAAGAACATCGTATTTTATGGGAATGAAAAGTTATATTGAAATAAAATATAATTTTGTATATATAGATTTTGAATTAAAAAAAGTAACAGTATCCTTACATTATAAATACAGCTGAAGAAAATGAACATTTTTAGCATTCATAGCTTAAATCAGCATGCTCACAATATAAAATACAACCAATATAAAATATAAAATAGATGCTAAGGCAAGATACCAAGTTTATCATGAAGTTAAAATAATGATACAGATACACACATGGAAGTACTTAAGAAAGTGTCAACCAAATGTGCAATTAGACATGGCTAAAAGAGGCAAATGGACTCCTGGTGTAGCACTGCAGGATAAGCACTGGACTGCGAATCGAAAGGCTGACAGTTCAAACCCATCAGCTGTTCCTAGGAAACCCTATATAGTATTGCTATAAGTCTGAACCAACTTGATGGCATTTAACAACAACAAAAATGGGTATACGAAGTCGTGGTGTGGCACTATAGGATGAGCACTGAACTGCTAACCACAGAGGTAAAGGCAGAAGCAGCGATCAATGAGCATGCCAGGCAGTGGAACTTGTGCCACACAACATGTGAAAAATACTACAGGGTTCGCCTGCTTTTTCCTTCATATGTTTAAAAGTCTATAATGGATTACTGAGGAAAAACAATGAGGAAAGCCATACTTCTAATACTTTAAATATTAAAAACAGTAAAATTTACTAAAATTTTACTTTCAAGAACAGAATGAATCCGGAATGCGCTATCACTTGAGACATGAAATCTCTTGAATGTTGAGAATCACTTCATTATACTGTAGACTTGTGTAATAAGGAATGACTTGTATACTAAGATTTGAGGGAAGGAAAATAATAAAACACATATGATAGAATTACTTCCTTAAGCTAGCCAAATGTGATTCCTGCCTGCTGAAAAATTAAAGAACTCAAATGAAACCTGAAAATGGTATGCATGTTATTTATGCCATGTATGGTGCATGTATGTAATATGCATATATCCTAAACTGAAACTCACAACCATTGAATGAATAGATTCTGACTCACAGCAACCATATACAAGGTTTCCTAAACATAAATGGAAGCAGGCAGCCTCTTCTTTTCCTGTAGAGTGTCTATGGGTTTGAACTGCTGATCTTGGGGTTAACAGCCCAATGCCTAACCCATAGTGCCACCATGTGTGATATACTTTATGTAGTGCATAATTTATATATATTTATGTAAAATGAAACTTAGTCACATCACCTAAAGATGCCTAAGAATGTTTTTTTCTAACACTGTAAGATTATAACTTCATTTTTACAGTTGTGCTCGCTCTCTGTTTTTGTTATTTCTGAGTCTATAAATCTTCACAGGAGCAAAAAGCCTCATCTTTCTCCCACAAAACCGCTGGTAGTTTCGAACTGCTGACCTTGAGATTAGCAGTTCGACTCGTAACCATTGGGCTACCAGAGCTCCTTCTCTTGAGACATATCTGGGTGGATCTGAATCAACAAACTTTTGGCTAGTAGTTGAGCACTTAACTGTTGGTGCCACTCAGGGATAACTTGCTTTCTAGGAGCATGTATTTTAGTCCTACAAATGAAATTAGACAAATTTTGGTATCATCAGTAATTATGGTGATTATAATTACTAGGAAAACATGTCACTCCTTTAACTCAGTCACCAAATATTTTCTAAGCAGATCATTATCAGCATCATCCCTCTCGGACCAAAAGGGAAAGTCACTTAAATTGCATAAAATGAGGACCTTTATAAAATCAGTCCCTGAATTGCAAAATGGCTTGCAAGGGGCTCCTGGTGAGGTGCTGTAGGATCAGCACTGGACTGCGAACCAGAAGGTTGGCAGTTCAAACCCACCAGCTGCTCCTTGGAAACCCTATACAGGGTTGTTATGAGTCGAAACCGACTCAGAAGCACATAACAGCAGCAACAAAAATGCTCTCAGCTTCCAAGTGATCAAACAAGAAAGGGAAGTAGTATAAGCAGAAGTTTGGTACAAACAAGGAAAATCCTTTTCAACTTTTTTTCATTACCCATAGGTAACTTTCAAGGCAAGAATGAAAAGTTGAATGTGTATTGTCAATGTTTTGGGTCCTTGAGTAGTTTCAGCAAGTTTCTGGATAAAATGCAAGCGTTTTTAGGGGAGACACAAAAAGTTTATGTTCTGAACAAAGCTAAATATTAACTAATAAACTTGACAATGAAAGGGTAGTTTATGTGCCATCTGTTTTGATCAGTAGTTCCTAATAGTAGGGTTGTGACACACTAACACATCTTAATCAGTTATAAAGTGTGATTACAAACAATCTGTTGCCAAAAATATTTTAAATACTGAAGTAGACAGTTTTCTTAAGTTGAAATGAAAGGGGTGGAGTTACAGTTAGCTCTATCTATCTACCATACTGTTTATCTGATCTAGGTCAAAGATCCTAAACATGACTATTGTCAAACATGTAAAGAGTCATCTGATTGACTACCTAATATAGGGGCGCTATAGAGGCACAAAGTAACTGGCTTACATGTTTTCAAGAGGGAGTTTTGTTTCAGAGTGTGCACAGGAAGGTAGAGCACCCATTGAATAGGCTGGTGAAAGGAGATGGAGATATTCTTATGATTCAATAGTGAGTAATTGTTATCATGACTAATTGTGATTATCACAACTGTAAAGCTTTGTAACAAAAAAGGGGGGGGGAGTTAGTTAATCTTACAATCCAGGAACAGAGGATCCAAGGACCATCAAGGGAGAAGAGCACAGGTGAAATGTGGGACCCTAACTAGAGAAGCAGCGACACCAGAGATGGAGGTAGAGATGAGGACATGGAGAGAGGGAGCAGCTGAGGACTCTATAGACTCATGGAAAGAGAAAGGCTGTGTGCTGGCAGCCATGAGGCAGACTTGCAGAATGTGTCCTTCGGTTGTTTAAATGATTATATATTCCTGAGTGTTTTGGTGTACATCTTCCCCTCAGAAAGCCCCCCCAAAAAACAGAGGGAATAGAAGCAAATACTGTTGAATGATGATGCATGGAGGGATTGTAATCATTGCAATGAAACAAGTGTAAAACCAATGTTCTCCCATGTAAACGATTACGCAATTCACAATATACACAAAAAAGTCATGTGTGTCCACTGTGTTCCTAGGGTTTCAGTGAAAAAACCATTGGTCTTAATGATTGGAACTTTTACAATACTAGTGCACTAAATTACTAGTATAGACCAGTCATGGGAAGGACTACTTACTAAGCAAGTCTGCAAGTTCAAAGTTACCAGTTCAGGACAGTGTGCACCTATGTATTTGAGAGCTTCATCTTCTAACTAGAAAGATAAAAAAAGAGGGAAAAAACAGTTATTGCCGTGATTTCAAAGGATAAAGATTCAGAATATAAATATTGTCTAGTGTCTATGGATTTTGTTGTTGTTTGGTGCTATACCCTATATAGAACAGAATGAAACAGTGCCCGAGTCTGTGCCATTCTCACAATTGTTGCCATCTTTGAGCCCATTGTTACAGTCACTATATCAATCCAATTCATTGAGGGTCTTCCTCTTTACGCTGATGCTCTACTTTACCAAGCATGATGTCCTCCAAGGATTGGTCCCTTCTGACAGCATGTCCAAAGAATGAGAGACAAAGTCTTATCATCATTGTTTATAAGGAGCAATTTGGCTGTACTTTATCCAACACAGATTTGTTTGTTCTTCTGGCAGTCCATGGTACTTTCAACAGTCTTTGCCAACACCATAATTCAAGTACATTGAGTCTTCTCCTGTCTTCTGAATTTACTGTCCAGCTTTCACATGCATATGAAGTGACTGAAAAGTACCATGACTCGGGTCAAGTGCACTCTAGATTTCAAAGTGTCATCTTTGCTCTTAAACACTTTTAAGATTTATGCAGCAGATTTGCCTAATGCAATACATCATTTGATTTCTTGACTGCTGCTTCCATGAATGTTGATTATAAATCCAAGAAAATGAAATCTTTGACAACTTCAATATTTTTCTGTTTGTCATGATGTTACTTATTGGTTCATTTGTGAGGATTTTTGTTTATGTTGAGATGCAATTCATAGTAAAGGCTTGTAGTCTTTTATCTTCATCAGTAAGTACTTCAAGTCCTTTTGACTTTCAGCAAACAAGGTTATGTCATCTGTATGTTGCAAATTGTCAGTGAGTCTTCCTCTAATCCTGATGCTGTGTTCTTTATATAGTCCAGCTTCTTACTTGCTCAGCATACAGACAGAATGAATAAGTATGGTGAAAGGGTACCCCTGATATACAGGTTCCACATGATCCAACTAAATGTTGTAGAATTCCATTCTTCATAATGTTATCCATAATTAGTTATAATCCACAGTCAACTAGCCCTTGCAAAGTCTATAAAACACAGGTAAATATCTTTCTGGTATTCTCTGCTTTCAACTAAGGTTCGTTTAACATCAGCAATAATATCCTTCATTCCATGTTTTCTGAACCCAGTTTAAATTTCTGTAAGTGCCCTTTTTATATAGTGCTACCAACTATTTTTGAATTCTCTTCAGCAAAAATTTACTTGTGTGTGATAGTAATGATATTGTTCAATAATTTCTGAATTCCGTTGGATCACCTTTCTTTGGGATGGGCATAAATACAGATCTCTTCCAGCTGATTAGCCAGGTAGCCATCTTTCAAATTTCTTGGCATAGACAAGTGGGTTCTTCCAGTGTTGCATCCATTTGTTGAAAAATCTCAAATTTGGTATTCTGTCTATTTCTGGAACCTTGTTTTTCCCTAATGCCTGCAATCCAGCTTGGACTTCTTCCTTCAATACCACTGGCTGTTGGTCATATGCTATCTCTTGAAATGGCTGAATGTCAGCCAATTCTTCTTGGTACAGTGACTCTGCGTATTCCTTCATCTTCTTTGGAGGCTTCCTGTATCATTCAGTAATTTTTGTCCATAGAAATCTTCAATGTTGGACTTCTGGTATGGTGCTGTTGATCAGCACTGGACTGTGAACAAGGTCGGCAGTTCAAACACATCAGCTGCTCCTTGGAAACCCTATACAAGGTTGCAATGAGTCGGCATCAACTTGACAGCACTTAACAGCAACAAGAAACTAGAATTTTTTTCTTCAATGCTTTCAGCTTGAGAAATGCCGAGTGTTTTCTTCCCTTTAGGTTTTCTAACTCTAGGTCTTTGCACATTTCATTATAATAATTTCTTGTGTTGCTAATTTAAAATCTTCTGTTCAGCTCTCTACGGATTTTACTTCTGTTAAATTAGATATGCCTTAACAGCATTTTGCTGAGAGATTATGAAGATATGACAACTTTTATATTTTTACACATATTTTTCATATTAAAGCTTTTTAAAAACAAACTTTTTGGGAGCAGGAGCTGAGAAAGGAATCCAGAGTTTATTTGCTGCAGGAAGATCAGTGCCACACTGAGAACAGATGGCAAGTAATTGATTATAGTGATGTATTCCAATCAATATTTTCCAGGATTCCATAAATAACCAGAAGCTCAAGCTGTTGCTTTAAGGCAGTGAGATTTCTAACGCTCTGTTTCAAACAGTGGGCTTTCTCTTACCATGGTAAACGAATGCTTTAAAAATGAAATCTCAGGCATAATTTTAATAATCATTGATAAAATAAAATAAAAACTTAGTCCTGTGTTGTCAATTGCTCCTAAATCCTAAATGACTGTTGATCATCTCCTTTCATATGCTCCTAGTCAATTTGTCATTTTCACTGTAAAATACTGAGACAGTAATATTTTTAATGATAAAACATTTTGGATTTGTAATATGACTGGCAGGAAATAAGTATCAACACTATAAAATGAAACTAGCTGTGTACTTGGCACACATAAGAAAAACTAGGTTAAAAAACTAGTGGAAATTGACAAGACCATTTCCTTTGCAAATATTGAAAGTTTCAGGCAGTTACAACACAGCAAGTTTTCTTTTTAGTACAGATGTATGCTCAGTATGATCTTTTATCTCCTTACTTTGCCTCTCCTCGAAAATCAGTTCTGTAAGGGCATGTGTATCTTGAGTCAGATGTTAATTTTTCTTAAATTCTTTTATTCCTAGGAAAATGCTTTAATTTTCAGTAATCATGTGTCTTTGGTCAATAGTATACAACAACTGACATTTCCTTCAACACCTTGGGGCCACTTACCATGTGCTCAGGAATCCTCTGACTTTCACAAGCACTATACAGAGTATTACCTGTGTGCAGCCTTTTAAGAATAAGGCCTTGAGACCCCCACAGCCTCTCACTAGTGCTTGGATGCCATCCTTGGTTACTTGGTCACACCATGAAATGTTCAGTTGCTCCAACAGTGGACATCCCTCGCTTAGGATAAAACAAAGTAAGACAAACGTACGACTAAATGCAGTTCTAAAAACACCGAAGTTTCATTTTATTGGCCATTTAATTTGAGAATGGATACAGGCCCATTTTCTCCCAAAGAACGTATATATATTTACTTAATGTAGGTCTAGAATATAGGCAATCCCACAACAAAAGAAAAGCTATTTCACCAATGTTTGTGGTGTTCACGTGCTATATCATTAGTGAGGCTACCTGAACACCAATTCACCAAAGAGCACAAAGTACAATATTGTTTTTTCAGATATATTAAATTTTTATGGAACTTAATACTTTTCAAAATATCTTTCTATTCTTTTTGCGCCAATCACATTATCTCAGTACTCGCTCGTTAGGAAGTAAAATTAAATGGCTTGTTCAAACTCACAGAATAATAATTAATGAAGAGTTCAGAGTCAACTCCAGATTGCTTTTCAGTTAATTCTATTACTTATCAAGGTAATGAGGACTTTAACTTTTACTTTAAAAATTACAAAGTATCTACAGAGGGAGTCCTGGTGTGGTGCTGTAGGATAAAGCACGGGACCCACAAGTTCAACTTGAACCATAGGATCGGTGGTTCAAACCTACCAACCGATCCTCAGAAACCCTATACAGAGTTGCTATGTCAGAACAAACTCGATGACACTTAACAACAAAAATAGAATTCTTTATTTAAGAGGTTTCTAGAGTACCACTTCTGTAGGCTCAATTTAGGAGCTCATGTGTTCAAGCTCTATATTCTACCAATCAAATATTCTCTACTACTCTTCATAAATCCTAGTTAGCCAAATGTCATCTAGATGGATTCTGTAATTTGGCAAGAAGTTAAGACAAAAGATCTATTCTGAACCACAGTGTATAATCATAAAACGTAGATAGCTTTAATTATAACTTCATTTCAGTTACTTAAAAAATTTATTTTTTCTAAGTATTGAAAAAGTTTATTATAAGAAATTTACCTCAGAGCTTTTAGAGACATATTTGTTATTGATGTACAGGAAGCCAAGTCAAGGTGTCTGAGCTTGGAACAGAACTTGCTAAGGCTAGTACATGTACTGAAAAATGGAAAAAGGAAAAAATAAAGAATGAACAAAATCAGAACACATTCTTAGTATACAGAATGTCATTCACATTAAACACATTTAGGTAAATCTGTTGCACAAGACCTTTTTAAAGTGTTAAAGAGCAAAGATGTCACCTTGAGGACTAATGTGCACCTGACCCAAGTCATGATTTTCAATAACTTTATATGCATGTGAAAGCTGGACAGTGAATAAGAAAGACCATAGAAGAATTGATATTTTTGAGTTATGGTGTTGGAGGAGAATATTAAAAGTGCCATGGGCTGCCAAAAGAACCAACACATCTGTGTTAGAAGTACAACCAGAGTACTCCTTGGAGGCCAGGATGGCCAAACTTTGTCCTTATACTTCGGACATATTGTCAGGAGGATCAGTCGCTGGAGAAGGATATCATGTTTAGTAAGGTGGAGGGTCAGAGAAAAAGAGGAATACTCCCAGTGAGAAGGACTGGCAAAGTGGCAGTATCAACGGGCTCAAGCATGGCAACAATTGTGAGGTTGGCCCAGGATCAGGCAGTGTTTCATTATGTTGTGCATAGGGTCGCTATGAGTTGGTACTGACTCAATGACACCTAACAACAACAGATGTAAAAACTTTAAAATGCCATGCCTCAAATAAAAGCAGTTGTAAATCATAGAACCTTTCACATTCAGGAAAAGGCTGTGCTGAGTATGAGAATTTGCACAAGAAAGTGGTGTTTCAATCACTACCGGTGTGTGCTCTAAGAGAGTCACATGTGTTATGCAAATCCAGGAACACCAGAAGCTAGCTAGTACCTGCTATCATGTGGTAAAAAATGAAACAGAAAGTTCTATCTCTTTCACTTAAATTTCAACCCCCCAAAATTTTTTGCATGGCAGTAATGAAAGAATTGCATTTTTGCAATGTATACAGAGGATAGATTGGTACTGGTCTGAAACAAGCTAAATTAGGAAATATTGTTACCTGCTTTCCTTTATGAATTTCCTAAAGGCTCTTTTTCTATAGCGGTCAGGTTCTCAGTTTTAAAATTTTACTATTATGAAAAATTTCAAATATATACAAAAGAAGAATGAATAGTATAGAGAACTCACATGTATTATCATTAAGCTTTGATATTTATCAATATTTTATTTTCTCATCTATTCCTTCTGTTTGATTTTCAATATTTCAAAGTAAATCCCAGACATATTACTTCACCTATAAATAATTCAGTACATATTTCTAATAGATAGGATGTAGAACCATAGTGCTGTCACACCCAACAAAATTAATTCTTTAGTACGATATGGGAGTTCTGGTGTGGCATTGTAGAATCAGCATTGGACTGCCAACCACAAGGTTTGTGGTTCAAACTTATCAACCACTCCTTGGAAACCCTATACAGGGTCGCTATGAGTCAAAACTGATTCAACAAGCCCTTTAAAATAACAATATGATCTGAGACCCAGTCAGTGTTGAATTTTCCTCTATTTTCTCATGAATGCCATTGTCCAAATTGTTTATTTAAAATTAGGATTCAAACAAGATCCATACCTTGTATTTGGCTGATAGAGTTCTTAAGTCTTTGTGTGGACATGTTTTAATTTCTTTTGTGTAGATTCCTAGGAATAGAATTGCTATGTCTTGATGCCTCTGAAATATGGTGTTGGTAAAGAACACTGAAATAGCATGGACTGCCAGAAGAAGGAACAAATCTGTCTTAGAAGAAGTGCAGCTAGGATGCTCCTTAGAACCAAGGACAGTGAAACTTTGTCTCATGTACTTTGGACATAGTATCAGAAAGGCTCATCCCTGGAGAAGACATCATGCTTGGTAAAGTAGAAGGTCATCAGAAAAGAGGAAGACCCTCAGTGAGATGGACTGAGACAGCAACCAAGACAGACTACAAAGAAAGGCTGGTAATATCCTTATAAAATTAGTTTATGAGAACTATGGAATCCAAGAGAGCACTGCACAACTGGCTTGTTTTCCTCCCCACCTCCACATGATTTGATTGTTGTTGTTGTTAAGTGCCTTTGAGTTGGTTCCGATCCACAGTGATCCTGTATAGACAGGTTTCCGAGGAGATGCTGGTGAGCTTGAACTGCCGACCTTGCTGTTCAAACAGTTTTCCAGTCTGGCACATTAACCCACAGCGCCACACAGGGATCAGTCTCGAAAGAATATCATGTTTGATGAAGTAGAGGACTAACATGGGTGTGGAAGACCCTTCTGTGAGATAGATCGGCATCTTCAACATTCTGGCTATTTTGAGGATGACACAGGATTGGGCAATGTTTTGTTCTGTTGTACATAAGGTTACTAATAAAGTTGACCACACACTTTCATCTCAATGATTACAATCCCCTCCATGCAACAAGTCATCCCACTTCCTCCCTGTGCTTCCTATTTCCATTCCACTCTCCTTCCTATCCCTTTTCTTTCTTTCTTTTTTTTATTATAAGTTTTTATTGTAAATTATGTGTTAGTTTACATGGGAGAACATTATCTTGACATTCATCCTATCGTATTTTGTTTCATTGCAATGTTCACAATCCCCTGCATGCATCATCAAGCCACCAAAGGGTACACCCCACACGCCTGCCCCCTGGCCGCTAGAACACAGCCCCTCTCCCTCCCTGAGTCCAGAGTCCCCAGCAGCTCCTTCTGTCTACATCATCTTCTCTGCCTCCATCCCTAGTGTCACCGCCTCCCCGACAGGGTCTCACACTGTCTGGCACTGCACTTCGCTTTTCTCCCTTGATGGTTCCAGGGATCTCTACTCCTGGACTGCAAAATCAGCCACTCTCCTCCTTTTGTTACCAAACATTTACATTTACCTTTTCAACACTCACTGTTAGCAATCATTCCCTAATGAACCACAGGAGTCCTTTCCCCCTCACCTTTTATCAACCCTATTCAGACAGGTTGGAAACAATTCAGTGGAGGTTCTACCTTTCCCTGTATCCTGGGGAGCTAGGTTCCCTATGGAAAGCTTACAAGCCAGTCACTTCTTGCCTTTGTAGTCCCTTATTTTGGGTAGCCAATGTCTAAGTTCCCCATTCCTGTGTACCAAGGGGATGGGAATGATCCTCAATGTAGAGATTTGTCTGCTCCTTTGTCATACTGCATCCACAAGCATACGTTCATCCACTTGTAGTGTGTTCCTCTTTCTTTTCTTTTTTTTTTTTTT